GAGGTCAAGGCTACAGTGGCCGGGAGCGGCCACTGCACTCCAGTCTGGGTGACAGAGTGAGACTCCAATTAAAAAAAAAAACTGATGTAGGCCGGGCACAGTGGCTCAAGCCTGTAATCCCAGCACTTTAGGAGGCCGTGTTGAGAGGATTGCCTGAGTCCAGAGGTTTGAGACCAGCCTGGGCGACTTGGAGAGACATTGTCTTCTACAATAAATCAAAAATTAGCTGGGCGTGGTGGCGCATGGCTATAGTTCCAGCTACTTGGAAGGCTGAGGCAGAAGGATCGCCTGAGCCCAGCAGGTTGAGGCTGTGGTGGCTGGGAGCATGCCACTGGCCTCCAGCCTGGGTGACAGAGTGGGACTCCAACTCAAATAATAATTATAATAATGATAATTTTAAAAACTGATGTAAACCTGACCCTTCTATCATGAAACCATTTTTGAATTTCAGCATGTGATGGTCCAAAACATGCTCTCTCCGTCCCCCACGGAACGGCCCGAAGCTGCAGACGTCATTGAAGACGCTGTGTTTGCAGACTTGGAGCTTCCCGGGCAAATGCTGCTCAGACAGCGGTCTCGCTCCGTGAGCTCACCAGGAACAAAGCACGCAAGACAGTCCAGCAACTCCCACGGCCCTTGGCCAAGCAACTCGCCTTAAGCGGGCCAGCAGCCCTGAGAGGTGCTGCAGAAGAGCCCCTCTCTTAGGAGTGTGGCTTTCCACACGTGTGGACTTGAAAGCGTCGTTCCTTGTTCAGTTTAATTTGGGACTCCTTTTTCTAAGTCAGATTTCAGCTGGATTTGGGGCACCGCCTAGTTCGAGCCAGCTGTTGACTTTTGCGAGACGTCAGGAGAGGGCTGAGGGATGGTCTGTGGTCCTTGTTCTTCATTCATCTCCTGAAACCAGCTGGCCAAGCTTCACTGCGCTCACCTGTTGCCTAGGGAGGTAAAAGCCGTCCCTAAAGCCTAAAGAAATAATTAAAATGGAAATATTTTTGTAGTACAGAAGGATGAAAGTCCCCCCCATGTGGTAACTGTATTGTTCTAGAAATATATCAAGGCCATTGCCTTCCTAGACTCTGGTGTGGCCATGTGCTCTTTGAGCTATGGCCATCGCCATGTTTCCTGGCTCTGTCTCTCTCTCTCTCTCGTTTACGTTTTAAATAAACTATATTTTCCCATCTTAAAAAAAATATATCATATCAAGATATATGATGATTTTGAAACTGATTTCTCAACAAGCTGACTCCATTATTTCCCTGGTGTGTGAATTAGGAATCTGTGCCATTTTGGAGGACAAGTAGCACAAAGTGTATAACGGTTTATATAGCGTTTTATAGTCACATTTATAGCATTAAATAGCTTTATTCCTTAGATCTAGGGAGAGTTCAGAGCTTCTACCTCCAATTAAGGGGAAATGACACTTCTTTTGTAAATTGGTCAGAAGTTCTGAGTTAGGGAGGAAAAAAGCCGTAATACCAAATGAATCAGGGCAGGGAACCGTGGCTCCTGCCTCTCATCCCAGCACTTTGGGAGACCAAGGCGGGAGGATTGATCCCTGAGGCCAGGAGTTTGAGACTAGCCTGGGTGACAGTGAGACCCTGTCTCTATAAAATAAAAAGTAAAAATAAAGAAATGTATTGTGTGTTACAACTTCAGCTGTGGTCTTCTCAAACTTAATGAAATCTTAAATGTCTTACATGTAATCTTGTAGGTCGATGTCTCCCCCAAACTGATTGTAGGTAACAGTTTAATCATCTAACTTGCTAATATGTTTTTGTTTTTCGCTGTAAATGTTTATTTTTTATTTATAAAAATTCTGAAAGCAATCCATTTGGGTTGGTGGTATACAGAACACACTTAAGTGTGTTAACTATTGTGACTTCTTTCAAGTCTAAATGATTTAATAAAACTTTTAAAAATTATTTATGATGACTCTTATTTTGAGAAGTAAGTCTGAAAACGGTAGATTTTTAAACTTACAAAATGGAATAACAGGTCTAGGAAGACTTTGCTACCCTCAAGAAAAGTTATTCCTAACTTATTCCAGACAAAGTGGCTTTCCATTATTTCCCAAAGACATGGCTGGGTACTTTCAAAGTTCACAAGACCCACGTCAAGAGACATTTGCTCAGTCAGTCCCAGTGTGGCAGGGCCTGGGAGTGTAGAAAGGACCTACTCTAAAGGGACACCCTCAGAGAAGAGGGATGGTGCTGTCAGTGTGTTGGTATCACGTGTGTCCGATACGTACCACATGACACGCTGGGCTGCCTGGGCACGAGCTGGCCAGACATAGCCTGTGAGGGTCAAAGTGCACCTGCATCTCCAGCTTACAGACAAATAAGTCTGCCGTACAAACTTGTGAGGAATCTGTAAGCTGGAAGAACACTCCCCAGATGCTTGTGGCTGGCTTTGTATGCAGACTTGCACCTGGCAGCACCGCTTGAAGCTGCCTTCCTTCTGCAGATTCTGCGTGAATTGTGGCTGGCTGCCATGGCCCAAGCTGGCCGGCCCATCCTCGTGGTCTTCGTCTCTTGGTCAGCTGCTTTACTTGCTTCCTTCTCACCCCAGCAAGGAGTGACGATGCATTGACTTATTCCCAGCATGTCCTGCTCAGTCCCCTCGAGACCCTTTGACCCTAGCTTTCCCTCAGGAACTAGCCCTGGCCAGCACTGCCTATTTATTACCAGTCTACGGTCAGACCCAGGGTCCAGAAAGAGGCTGAGATTTGCTCGAGGTCAAAAGCCTGCAAGAACAGAACCAAAACCTAGGTCTTCCAATCCCTAGTCTGTGTTTTGTAAATTCTCGCATGCTATAATCAGGCTTTCTTTCCTTTTAGTCCCAGTCTGCCTTTGCTGGCCACTAGGAGAGCAGTCTATGGGGATGGGGAGGCTAAGGGGCTGGGGCAGCAACACTCAGGAAGCCCGCAACGCCAGCCAGAACGGAGTCCCCTGCGTTCCCACCCAGAGCCCTTTCTGCTGACTCCAAGCTCCCCACCCCCAAAGTGTCCCATCCCCTACCTGCTTCTGCTTTTGGCACTCTGTACTCATAACACTCGCCAGGGTCTGGCTGGTGAGCCAGCAGCGGGTGCAGGTTGGTCCCCCTTGTTCATTTCTGAGACCTGGAGGGAGGGCACGCTGTCTTCTGTGATTCAGCCACGTCTAGCATAAAGCCTGGCATTTGATGGCCTATTTGAAGAACTGAATTAGAGGAGCACGGGAGTAGCCCCAACAGAGCTGTAGCCCTTAGGAATTCTACAGCCAAATGGGGAGGAAAGAAATGTCTCAGTCATGGCAATAAAAATTTGGCAAAAGTGAGGAAAGAAAGATGCCCGATTTAAGAATCCTGATGCTGGGTACGGTGGCTCCAGCCTGTAATCCCAGCAATTTGGGAGGCTGAGGAGAGAGGATTGCCTGAGATCAGGAGTTTGAGACCAGCCTAGGCAACTCGGCGAGACCTCATCTCTACGAAAAATCCAAAAATTGGCCGGGCATGGTAGCACGCGCCTGTAGTTCCTGCTACTCGGAAGGCTGAGGCAGAAGGATCGCCGGAGCCCAGCAGGTTGAGGCTGTGGTGGCCAGGGGTATGCCACTGCATGTACTCCAGTCTGAGCAACAGAGTGAGACTCCGACTCAAAAAAAAAAAAATCCTGATGCTAAAAACTGGTAAAAGTCTCAAATCTTGGAAGTTTTCTAAAGGAAGGGGACCTTGTGCTTTTAATTCGAATGACGGGAGAAATGTGCGGGGACCTTTGTGAGCGCCCACATGGCTCCGCCTGGCACTGTCCTCCTTCCGTCTAACTCCTTGACCCTGGCAGGCCTGTGAACACCGTGCCCCGAGAAAGCACACGCTCTTCTTCCTGGTTTGCCCTGCAGGGAGGCGGCAGGACTGAACTGAGGGTATTCTAGGGTCAGGAACCCCATGTGAAAATCTCACTCATAAGCAGACCTTGAACAACTGTCGTCATACTATAAGAAAAGGATTGGCAGCAGCGGGAAACTGCAGGGGTGTGGGGGAGCGGGGAGGCGGAATTGGCAGGAGTGGGAATCTGCCTGGGGAGGGGGAGGCACCCCTCATCAACAAGGGCACCTGCACAATGAACTTTTGTAGACCTAACCCCAAATTGTACCCCACATCTTTAAAATAAACAATTTAAAAGTTAACAAAGTAAATTAAAAATTACGTACTCTACCTTTTGTCCTGGGAGCAGACAGAAGACCTGTAGGATGTGGGGATGGATTTTTTTTTCACATATATGTATTTTTTTTTCTCGCTGGATGCATTTACAGAAGCTGTCCTTGTGCCATTTTTCTCTGTGGGGAGTGGAGGCAGGGCGAGCTTCCAATTCAGCCACTCGCCGTCGAGTCACTCAGTCTCGGAGAAGCCAAGGGACTCTGGGTGCTCTGTGGCCCACCTCTGGCGCCCTTTGCCGTCCCCAGGACCCGCCGGTTCAGGCGCGGCTTAAGGCAGCTGCCCCCGGAGAATCCATCCCTGCAACGAAAGCAACTGCCACCAGGTGGCTCGTTTTCGCCTCTCCCCAAGCACAGAGATGCTGGCTCAAGGACATGCTGAGAAACGCATCGGGTGTTGTGCGAACATCAGGGTGTGCCTACACAGACCTAGACGGTGTGGCCTACTCACACCTCGGCTGCATGGTGTAACCTCTTGCTCTGAGGCTGCACGCCTGCACAGCTATTACTGTACTGAATACTGTAGGCGACGGACACACAGTGGTCAGTATGTGTGTTTCTAAACATAGAAAAGGTGCAGTTAAGGCCGGGTGGCTCAGCCTGTCATCCCAGCACTTTGGGAGGCCAAGGCAAGGGGTTCACCAGAGCCTGCAGGTTCCAGACCAGCCCGGGCAACTTGGCGTGACCTCGTCTCTACAACTGAAAGAAAGAAAAGGTGCTGTAGAAACACAGGATTTGAATCTCATAGGACCACCTTCAGATATGTGGTCCTTCATATGTGACCAACAGGCTGTTGTGTGACACGTGACCAGTAGATAGTTGAGGGCTGAGGCAAAGAACATTCTTCAACCTGTAAGCTCTTCCCCTTCCCCAACACGTGTTTCAACGGGGCCTCAAATACCAGACACCGAAAATGCAACCACACGAAGTCCCACGTCTCATGAGCTGCTTTTAGATTTTTTGTGTAAACATGGACTCCATAAACACAGGAACAACAGGAGCCTGGCCGTTTCCGGCAACTTTTAGTATCGCGATCCCTTGCTTGGTGCCCATCTGTGGATGCAAGTAGCTTCCTTTTCCAATTCTTCATGCTCCAAGACTAAGAAAAGGTGAGAAAGGAGAGGAAATAATCCAGGCGAAGGCTTCAGGGGAAGGGAGGAGGAAGACAGCTCTCCAGATGGGCCGGGAGAAGTAGGTCAGTTTAAGAATTATTTTCAGGCCGGGCTTGGTGGCTCAGCCTGTCATCCCAGCACTTTGGGAGGCCGAGGCGAGTGGATCGCCTGAGCCTGCAGGTTTGAGACCACCTCTGACAACTTGGCGAGACCTCATCTCTACAATAAATCAAAAAATCAACCGGGCGTGGTAGCGCACACCTGTAGTTCTGGCTACTTGGAAGGCTGAGGCGGAAGGATCGCTGGGGCCCAGCAGGTGAAGGCTGTGGTGGCCAGGAGCGGCCACTGCACTCCAATCTGGGTGACAGAGTGAGACTTCAACTCAAAAAAAAAAAAAAGAATTTTTGAGGCAGAAAGGGCCAGACACTGGAATTACCTGAATGTAGTTAAAGGAGAAGCTGGCTCCTGAATCCAGAAGGAAGGTGAGGTTTCGGGACAGAAGGAATGACAAGTGTCCCCTTTTGAAGATATTGAGATTCTCAGGACTCTGGCAAAAAGGTAGGACATAATTAGAACATTGGAAGGTTTCCAAACCGAGGGAAGACAAGATGAGAGATTTTAAAACCACCGTGGGCTAGGCTCGGTGGCTCAGCCTGTCATTCCAGCACTTTGGGAGGCCGAGGCAAGTGGATTGCCTGAGCCCACAGGTTTGAGACCCACCTGGGCAACGTGGTGAGACCTCGTCTCTACAAGAAATCAAAAATTAGCCGGGCGTGATGGCACTTCCCTGTAATTCCAGCTACTTGGAAGGCTGAGGCAGGAGGATCACCGGAGCCCAGCAGGTTGAGGCTGCTGTGGCCGGGAGCGTGGCACTGCTCTCCAGCCTGGGTGACAGTGAGACTCTGACTCAAAAAAAAAAAAAAACCAAAACACTGTGGTGGGTGACGGAGAGGGTTGACTAGAGGGTCAGGAGCTGGAGACAGAAAACCAGCAGGAAGCCACGGCCTTTATCCAGCGAGAGGGCAGAGGACCTGAGCAGGGCTTGCGAGCTGAAAGACGCCCTTCCTTGCCCGGCAACTGTGTGCTGGCTTCCAACAACCGGACCCGCCTGCACTGCTCTTCAGCGTTTGAATCTTGAAGCCTGTGCAGGTGTAGGCAGTGAGTGGCTGTTTGGGAAGGACTCGCAGCTTTCCCAAATGACTTCTGAAGAGAGCCCAGAGACTCCGGTCCTAAACGAAGACGGCCACTTTGGGACCAGCCTGTCTCTTGCCAGCTGCAAGAATGTGTGTTGGAGCTGGGCTCGGTGGCTCAGTCTGTAATCCCACGCTTTGGGAGGCTGAGGTGAGTGGATTGCCTGAGCCCG